CCCCAACACTAACACCACAGAGTAGCCCCAACACTAACACCACAGAGTAGCCCCAACACTAGAACCACAGAGTAGCCCCAACACTAACACCACAGAGTAGCCCCAACACTAACACCACAGAGTAGACCCAACACTAACACCATAGAGTAGCCCCAACACTAACACCACAGAGTAGCCCCAACACTAACACCACAGAGTAGCCCCAACACTAACACCACAGAGTAACCCCAACAGTAACACCACAGAGTAACCCCAACAGTAACACCACAGAGTAACCCCAACACTAACACCATAGAGTAGCCCCAACACTAACAAACACCATAGCAGGAGAAGGCACAGGCAAATGTGAGGATGCCTTTTGATATTCTAAAAAAGGATATGCCTTCAGACTTGCCCTGCCTTGATTTCACTTATGAAAACAAAATCCAGGTATAAAATTACGTCCCGAAGTAGAATCTTCAATGTGAAGTTGGTCCATATCCTCACCCTTCCTGGGAGGAATGGCCGGTTCAGGAGTTTTCTGCTGTGGGACTCTGGTGGTGATTATGCTGTGGGTGTTTGGTACTCTTTGCCATTCTGATTTCTTCCTTTTGGGTTGAATATATCCACTTGATAGGTCTTTTCTAGTCCTTACGGTTTAGAACTGCCTAATTCAGTAGTCCCATGGAGGAAAAAAGGAAGAGTGGAAATGGGCTACTTGCAAAATGATTAGCCCCAGAAGCCATTCCTCAATGGGTGAACTTCTGTTATTCTCATAAATGGAAAATTTGAATGTCATAGAAACTCTAGCATTTGAACAATTCATTCATCTATAAGGACTATAATTATAGTCTGATACAATTTTGTTTTTAGCTTTCTTTTTTTTTTTTAGTTTTAGGGGAGCATACTTATTTTCAATAAAGGTACTTTCTTCTGTCTCTCTCTCTCTCTCTCTCTCTCTCTCTCTCTCTCTCTCTCTCTCTCTCTGTGGGGGGGGGGTTGATCACACATTACTGGGTTGTTTTTAGCCAGTGTATTTTCTATATTCTTACAAAATTGTATACTATTTTACTATCTTTTGAATGGAGCACCATAATTCACTTAATGAATCTCTTGTTAGTAGCTGATTCTAACTTTTTATTATAAATAATAAGCATTTCATTTCTAAATATGCATATATAGATTATAAACATTTCACAGTAAATATTTTCATATTTCCCTTTTACTAGAATTTAACGATAAAATGTCCCCTAAAGACACTTATTTTAGAGGGTTGGGCCCTAGTTCATGGGGCTACTGCAAGGTGGAGGAGGAGCCTATAAGAAGTGGAAGCTGGGCATGCCAATCTACCCATGTAATCCTAGTACTTTGGGAGGAATCCCTACGGAGGCAGGAGAATCAAGAGTTCAAGGGTTTTCATGACATCAGAGTAAGTTTGAGGCTAGTTGGAGCTGTATGAGATCCTCTCTCAAAAAAACAAATAAAAATAAAAACAGCTTAAAATGAGCCGGGCAGTGGTGGTGCACGCCTTTAATCCCAGCACTCTGTGAGTTTGAGGCCAGCCTGGGCTACCAAGTGAGTCCCAGGAAAGGCGCAAAACTACACAGAGAAACCCTGTCTCGAAAAAAATCAAAAAAAAAAAAAAAGCTTAAAATGAAGTGGAAGGAAGTTAGGCCACTGGGGGCACGCCCTCAGAGGGGATTTTGGAATCCCAACCTTATCCTGTCTTCCTTTGGGTCCCTGTCACTACAAGGTGAGCAGATGTCCCTTGTCACATGGTATTCTGGAATTGCTACTAGGCCCCGCAACCATAGTTGAAAGCTATAGACTATGAGCCAAAATAAACCTGTCCATGTGTATGAAGCTGCCCTCATAAAACCCATTATTTTGTATAGTACCTAAAACATTAATAATAAATTAACAAAACCTGCCTCTTTTTAAGCTGCTTATTTTTGCTATCACAGAAATGGAAATATGACCAATTACCATCTTCTGGTGCCCATTGTAACTAGAGTTTTCCTGCCTGGCCCACAGTCAGGACAAATCTTTGTCACCTGCCAGTCCCACAGCCGCTCAGATCCAACCAAGTAAACACAGAGACTTATTTTGCTTACAAACTGTATGGCCGTGGCAGGCTTCTTGCTAACTGTTCTTACAGCTTAAATTAATCCATTTGCATAAATCTATACCTTGCCACGTGGTTTGTGTCTTACTGGCATCTTCACATGCTGCTTGTCATGGCAGTGGCTGGCAGTGACTCCTTCCGCTTTCCTGTTCTCTCCATTCTCTTCTCTGTTAGTCCTGCCTATACTTCCTGCCTGGCCACTGGCCAATCAGTGTTTTATTTATTGACCAATCAGAGCAATTTAACATACAGACCATCCCACAACAGCCCATTCTTAGAATTAATTTTTAAAACCTTAATCACTGAAGGAAAATAATTGTTTCTATAAAAATATATTAATCTACCATAGCAGTATTGGAAGATACTTTTTCCACTGTGCCTGCCTCAATTATATTTTATTTGCATTTATTTTTTCTTAATTAAAATTTCACTTGTTTTTTTCTTCTATCCACTGATGATCAGCATTTTATTACTTCTGTTAAATAACAAACTTACATTTTAGTAATAACTTTGTTCAATGAACTATTCATATACTATCTCTGCTATGATCTGAATGTTGTATTCCTTCAAAATTTGTGTGCTGAAATCCTAAGCCCCTAGATGATAGTCTTAGGAGGTGAGGCTTTTGAGATGATTAAAATAATCTAACCACGCCGGGCGGTGGTGGCGCACGCCTTTAATCCCAGCACTCGGGAGGCAGAGGCAGGCGGATCTCTGTGAGTTCGAGGCCAGCCTGGGCTACCAAGTGAGC